TGTGTGTGTGTGTGTCAGAAAGCTTCAATACTGCACTGCTCTAGTTGCAAATGAGATCTGCTGCCTAATAGAGGAAGAGCAAGAGAGGAAGGGGAGAGGGAGATGCATGAGTGTTAAAAAAGATTTCAGGGACGTAGAAAGTAGGATGAGTAGTGAGGAAAAGGTAAGGGTGAAAAATGGAGGCATTGGAAAATGAAGAGATAAAGCAGATGGGGACAAAGGATGGGTGTGAAAGTCAGATAAATGATGGGGGCCAGGGAGGAAAGGAAGAGCAAGGAGGGAGCACGTCTCTAAGACAGGCTGAACAAAATCATGTATGGGGCAAGAAGGATCTAAAGGCGTGTGTGTGCATGTGTGTGCATAGTTTGTGGCCGAAAGTAGGAGCAGGACAGGCAAGGAGGCAAGGAGACATGGAGGGCAGCAGAGTCAGCAAGCGATAGAGAGACAAGACAAAAAGACACAGGTAGAGGAGGGGGGGAAAAAAAAGGGAGAAGGTGGTGAGGTAGAGCTGTGACTGATAACATTGTCGTACTCAGGTTGCCTCAAGGGCAGACAAGACAGAAAGAACGAAAGAGAGGGAATGAGACACAAAGAAAGAAAATGCGGAAATTTACAGAGCATCCAGAGGCGGAAAGGTTTATAAGATGGAAGGTGAGCAAAGATGGAGAGACAGGAAAGAAAAAGATAGGAAACACAAGGAGGAGCACTGCAGTGAGAGATAAATGGTAGAGGATGGATGGCAAAGAAACAAAGAACAATCCCTAAGAATAGAGTCAGAGGAGGAAGAGGAGAGGTAGGTAAGACAGCCGTGGGGGGTAAAGGTATGGGTAGGCATGACACAAGGAGAAGGATGTGAAGGCTTTCACGAGGAGAAAAGGGAAAGAGTAGGTAAAAATTAAAGTAAGAGAGTAAGAGAAAATGAACAAAAAAGGCAGGTGAGTAAGTTATTGCAAGAATGAGAAAGTACAGGGCAGAGACAGATTAGAGAAGGGGGGGGGGGGTTAGGGGTGAAGGAAAGATAAAGGTCAAAAGAAGGAGTGGAAAAACACAGACCACACAGCAGGTGAGTGCGTGAGCATATTGCCATTAAGCATACAGTGGGTAAAGTACGTGTCTAAGGAGCAAGCTATAGCAAAGTACAGGGGTAAGCTGGTCGAGGCAGGGCTGAAGTGCCCTGCTCGTTCTACAACAACACCTGACGTTCGGGCTTTTCAGGGACCGCCGCAGAGTAGACACATTTTTAAGCGGCATTTCACTTTTGCCAGAGCATTTTCACATTTTAGTATGCACGCCTCCACAGGAGCTCAGGAGCAGTCGACTTCCAACATCGACTGCCCCGGGGACTGGCTGTCACTGCAGGCATTCGTGACTTTGTCCCTCCCGCACACCCAAGCCCTCTCCTGCTGCGATGCATTTTTTTTTTTATGCCATTGCTGCCATTGCTAAGCTGGACTGTGTGTGTTGGAGTTATATTTTTAGGTTTGGTTTGAAAAAAGGTACTGGAGTTCCTGGTAGTCATTACAACTCCCTAGGGCAACCAAGAGCCACTCAAGTATTCAGAGTTAAGTAGCTAAAAGCAAACCATGGTCAACAAAAGCAGTGTTTTATAACACTACAGTCATTTTAGCCTATTTAAAGGTCCTATGAGAAAACGTGCCTGTCCTACCAAAGCTGCATATCAAGCTGCATTTCTCTCCTTAACTAATTGGCCATCGGTTTAATGTTCCACCAAACATTCTCTTTAAAGAGGAAATGCCTTAAGGAAGTAATGGTACCATTTTATTGGAGCCATAGTAATCCATATGTGATCCATTCCCATCATCTATGAGGGATACTGCTTATTTCTTGCTTCCGTCATCTTTGCATTAACAGTAAGAACATTTAGGAGCCTGATAGCACTAGGTTTCTTTATCTTTTTTATGCAGACTTAAGGTTTAAAAAATGGAACAGTGTGGCGTGTCTAATGCAGCTAATAGAGCTCACATTCTGGAATTAGACCAAACCAAAGCATGTAGTAGGGAGGAGAATGCAAAATGCTGCTGGAAACCCCCGTGCTTTGATATAGACACTGCTTCAGTATGTGAGCTAAATGGTAAACCCTCTTCTAGTTTCATGCAGAAAGAGCAAAGCTAGCACCTAATGGAAAATATTGAGCCAGCAATTTGAGTCAACCTGTAAAGTCAGCATGATATACGGTTATGTCTGGTTGTTACTCAAAGTATTAGGTTGCATACATTATATATCACTATATAATCACCATGCTTGAGGCTCTACTCCACTGCACAAGTTTGCAGATTGCTCCACATAAAAATACACCCGTCTTTCTCTGATGATGTTAGTTTCTGTCTGTCTCTGACTCACCGTCTCATCCTCTGTCTCCTCTCCCCAGTCACCGCTGCTGTGACTGTTATCAACACTCCCTGTCACTCTCTCTGTATCTAGGTTACAGTTGCTATGACAACTATTATGCATGCCAATCAGAGGCAGTGACTCATCTCTATACCTTATTATCACATAGCTGTATTTGGGGAGGTCTGTGCACAAAGTGTGTGTTGACTGGGAGATTTTCTGCATGTCTGAGATTACAATGAGACCCTTGTGTGTGTCGTACTTCACTGAGCCTACTGAGACCTACATTGTGCTTGACTTGAGTCTTGCTGTGGAATCAAGGCGGATAGGATGGTGACCCAATTTGATTCACTGACCGACAGTCTTAAGAAAGGGTCTGATGATATAACACTTGTTTAATCCGCTCTTACAGGTTTCTAGGTAACTGTTACTATGGGGACTGGCTGTGTTCAGTCTTTTGGGATGTTGTTGCTAGGCAATAAGCTGTAGTGGTGAAAAGGTACATGGGATTGTGTGTTTGCTTGCAATATGTAAGAGGTGTAGCAAGAAGGAATTTGTTGCAGGGGCGTCAACCATTTCTCAATATGGATTTTTATGCTATGAAACACCAAGTGGGCATAAGTGCAGAGTGGTACTCATTTAGGAGGAGGCCTTGGCCCACACAAGTATGCATATGTGCATAACAGGCTCTCGTTCCAGCTCCGTCTAGTCATAGTAGGTGGAAGACAGGAAACCACACACGAAAACACACTTCAGACATCTCTTACAAAGCTATGTCTGAGCCAGGGAACAAATCTAAAACCCATTCTCCCTTTTTGTCTCCCTCCAGGTCTGTGGATCGCCAGGCGCTCTACCATGCCTGTCCCCCCACCCCTCAATCCCCGCAGACAAAAACACCTGCCCCACACACACCTCCACCCAGAACAAAGGGCAGAACGTTCCACCTTCCCCTCCCTCTTCCCTCCATCCATCCTCTCTCTTTCTCTTCTCCCCCCTGTCCTCGTCTCATCTTTGCCCTCCTCATCCCATCTCGTCCACTGTGCCTGTCCCAGGACGACAAAGAGAACCCTTCCTGACTCTGTCCCTTTCCCAGCATTTCATTGGCTGACTCTGGTCACATGCTGCCTGCTGCCTTCTCTGATTGGAGCAGGGGAGACGTGGGGCGTGGTCTCAGCCTGTCCCTTCCACTGCGTGTGTCGAAACCTTTCAGAGTCGCTCAGCACGCTCTGTGCCGACAAGGGCCTTCTGTTTGTGCCCCCGCACGTTGACCGACGCACCGTTGAGCTGCGGTTGGCTGACAACTTCATCACAGAAGTGGGCGGGAATGACTTTGTCAACATGACTGGATTGGTTGATTTGACTCTGTCGAGGAATACCATCCACCTGATCCGACCAATGGCCTTCGCTGACCTGGAGAGTTTGCGCTCACTGCATCTGGATGGTGAGCCAAAACAGTGCTGCTGACATGAACCACTTGGATATTACAATTTGGTTAATTATTAAGATTCAAGTTCATGGAAACACTGAATTAAAAAAATATATTATTTGTATTTGTGTGTCTAGGTAATCGCTTGACAATTCTTGGACCCAGGGACCTCGCAGGTTTGGTCAATCTGCAACACCTGATTGTCAACAACAACCAGCTGATCAAAGTCTCTGTCCAGGCCTTTGACGATTTCTTGCTCACACTGGAAGACCTTGACATGTCCTACAATAACCTCAGGAGGTAAGCTTTTGCCTCTGTTGTGATCACCCATGCGCATCGTGCATTCACACAACTTACTCTGCTCTGCTTTGTTAAGTAGAAACACACTGTACACACTCTGTACTGTAGAACTTCATGTGCTCAGGGCTTGGCCTCAAAAGTATGCTAAAGACACACAGCTCAGCTCCCAACATTTCAAGACACTGTGGAAATGCCTTATATGATCACGCAAGAGTCAGCAAACACAATGAAGAGAAACCAGCTCAAACTGCTGAGGCTTGAAGGAGGGGACTAAAAGCTCAGGAAATTGAAAGTGAATCAATTTTGATGAGGTCCTAATTTTCTTTGACTTCGATTCTGTTAAGATTTGATGAGTGCATGCCTGAGCTCACTCCACTGTGTATTACGACTATTCTATACGGTTCGTCCTTTAGTGCACTGAGTAGTATTCCATTCACCTCTATCTAGGGACAATGGTGACTCTTACAGCAGCTATTCTTCTGGACTAAATAAGTCAGAACAATGATGATTTCTCTATTAATCTCCTATTCTCCTATTCATAGTGTCCCACTGCGTGAATTCAGCAGCTTTTAGCTGCCAGTTCTGATTAAGGTGTTTCATTTGTCTCCTCTACAGGAGCTCTCTGGCTTCTCCTTAACCTCCACCAAGCCATAAGAAAAGTGTAAAGAGTTTTAATGATGCATACATTAACAACTGCTGTTTGCCCTTTGTTGCGGGTTACTGAGGAGTCTTTACACACTCAGATTCACAGTGAGCCGGCAGCACTGATTCTTTCTTACCAAGGTTGAAAATGCTCAAAACTGGAAACAGATCATGACATATGAGAACTTTTTTTAGGTTGGAAAAGAGATTATCCAGGTGGGACCCCACCTGTGTAATTTAATTGTGAAGGAAACTGAGGGACACCTGGTGTGTCCTGCAGCTTAACTTTGTTTAAATACTGCTTTTACCAGACTGTTATAGAACAACCCTGGAACCTGGACAGATCTCATGTGGTTAACTTTCCATATCTTAATTATTGGTCAGCTTCTGCACTACCTCTCCCCTTAAAATCATTAAAATAACTAATTCCATTTATTGCGTTACACAAAGCAATATATTCTCTCCACCAAATGAGCTTTGAATTCAACTTACTAATTTGTGATATTGAGCAGGTTCTCTTTGTGCTCAGCAAAGAGAGCGCTTCAGTGTTTGTCAGATGACACAAAACAAATTTATACTCATTAAACATACATTGTGCTGAAGAAAAAGGCACACCCTGAAACAGAACACAAGATAAGTATAAAAAAATAACAGCATTACTTCACATTTATTCTATTTTGCTGGTTCTCAGTTGTCAGTTTTGACTCACTAATTTGTCCAAAAACAGTTCTTAAGCGAAAGTCTGCACAAAAGGAATACTAAATGACAACAGCAATGGGTCACAGATGGGATTGTTGAAACGCAGAAAAGAGACGGATTGAGAAGGAAAATGAGCATCTGTTGTTGTTGTCTGTCATTGCTATCACCATTAATTAGTCGTTGCTTATTCCGGTTTTCGGCTGCTGGGTAACATAGGAAAGTGCTCAGAACATTGAGAGTAAACTTTGACTGATCTAATAGCAGCATACTCATCCTTCAATCAAGTTAATTTTGTTTACAGTGTCAATGTACCCATGAGGGACACATCAGAGTGATGAATCAGTCTTCATAGCTGCTATTGCTTTCAAGAGATACTCTAATTTCTCCAATCTTAAACAAGAATAAATGTCTATTCATTCAACGAATCTCACCTTAACCTCAAAATATTTCTCTATTTTATTGCTGCAGGGTACCATGGGAGTCTATTCAGAACATGGCCAGCCTGCACACTCTCAACCTGGACCATAACCTGATAGACCACATAGCAGAAGGAGTATTTGGAGAGCTGTATAAGCTTGCAAGGCTGGATATGACCTCCAACAGGCTCCGAACCCTGCCTCCTGATCCCCTCTTTGCAAGGTAGCTCTTAAGCTTCATCTTTTATGTTTCTCTAAGAAGTGGCTTAGTGGAAATATTCTGTGGCAGAAAACACTGCCACAGAGCCACCAAAGTGGTTTTTAACAGGAACGCTTTGGCACTGACACACAGGAAGACAATGTTGGTGTCGCTCCATTCACTATCTTATTATGCATATGTAGAGTATGTACAAACCAGTACAAATCGTTTCACTCCTACCAGTCCACAGTTTTGTTTCCCCCGTTTTGTGCTGTTATCATTTAGAAAGGAGGCAGTGGCTTGTTCCATACTATGCATGGCAAAGAAAGCCAAAGGAGCAAGTGGCTGTGCAGTGAATAAATAAGGACCTTATTAGATTATTGGCTGGTGATACATTTTTCTACTTTGGAAATTATGGTAAGTAATGAGGGCGTTAAAGGAAAGAAAAAAAAATAAGTCAGGGTGCCCAGGTGGTCATAATGTTATGGCTGATCACCGTACGTGGTATTACAGACCCAGTACCATCTTCCCTAAACCTGCTAGGAAGTAAGCTTAACAGAATCCCTGTTTTATTCTTTTTATATTAGCAAACTATTCCAATTTTATTTGCAAAGGAGAGCTTCCAAGGTGCTTGTAACAGCACTACTGCTAAAGTATTGCTCCTGGGTTGGTTTGTAACCGCCTATTATGACCCCTTTTCCAAAATCACTTGTTTCTTATGTTTGGAGCAGCTTGAGCTCTTATAACTTGCTGATGTGAAGCACATTTATTTGTTTTGTTACTTTAAGCATCTCATTTGAATCCTGAACAAATGGCAATTAAAAATGTTCAAATTTAAGTGACAAAAAGGGGGTAAGTTAATGCAATTTTACAAAGCCAAAACAAACTTAATCAGGAATATAGCATTTAAACTTAAGCATTTTAACTCCATTAAGACTTAAAAATTTGTGTTAATAAACTAATAGAGTTTTCTACTGTCATCTTCAGGTCCCAGACAGGTGCCATAAGTCCCACCCCCTACAATGCTGTTATAAGTTTAAATTTTGGTGGGAACCCACTGCACTGCAATTGTGAACTGCTATGGTTACGGCGACTTATCCGTGGAGACGACATGGAGACGTGTGCCACACCTGCTCACCTGGCTGGAAGGTAAACGTCTTCAATTAGTTAATGGATCATTTGTCTAATGTACAAAAGGACATGAACAAATTAGTTTAATTCAACTGTTTATCCTCATCCTTTTAATCAGTGAAGGCTACGTAAATGTCAGGGGAAGCTAAAGTATTGTTATTGTATTGTATTGAATGATGTGTCAAGTCAAACTAAAATCACACAACAGTGTTTCCCAACCTTGTCTCAAGGCCAATCTGTCCTAAAAGTTTTTGCTCTGGCCTGGTTTTAGCACACATCCAATTATGGGCCTCACATGTTATGACACCTCTAATTGGATCATCATGTACGCAAGAATAGAACTGGAGCAAAAACCCGCAGGACAGGTAGGCCTTAAGGACTGAGTTTTGAAACAATGACATGATACTGCCATAGTCATTATTCTGATAACTCAGTGTGTACTACCTGCACCTCTCTGCTCTGCAGTAATTTCCCAGTCTAACCCTGAAGTCAAAAGTATGTAGTGATATAAAAAGAAGAGGAAAATGAGCATCTGTTGGTGTCGTCTGTCATCACTGTCACCATTAATTACTCTTTACTTAGTCCTGTTTTCTGCAGAATAGCATGGGAAATTGTTCAGTCTGTTGTGCGTTACTGAACGAACTGAACTTAAATTGACAGACAAGAGTACATGGATCTTTAGGTTAATGAATGTGCCAAAACCTCCTTGGAAGGATAAAACAAGACAAATCCTGTACTTAACCAAAAAGAGGATTCTGCTATACCCCTTCTCTCACTCTCTGTCATGGGCTTCATCCCTCTTCTCTCCCTTTTTCTCTCAGATATTTCTGGTCAATTCCTGAGGAGGAGTTTACTTGTGAACCACCTCTCATCACCCGTCACACACACAAGCTGTGGGTGCTGGAGGGCCAGCGAGCGACGCTAAAATGCCGTGCCATTGGCGACCCTGAGCCAGTAATCCACTGGGTTTCACCAGATGACCGCATTATTGCGAATTCATCCCGGACCAGCTCCTTCAGCAATGGGACCCTGGATATCTTAGTAACAGTTGCCCGAGATGACGGGGCATACACCTGTATCGCAATAAATGCAGCAGGCGAAGCGACTGCCACTGTGGACCTGAAAATAATCCCTCTGCCTCACCGGGGAGGAGCAGGTGGAAACACAGGGAATAACAACGTGAACACCAAAAACAACAGGAATATGACTAATGGGATTTTACGGACCGATCCGGGCTCTTCGGATATCAGCACAGGGAAAAACGGTGGGATTAACAATGGCGCAGGACGAGGAGAGGTGGAGGATGGGAGAAGAGGTGGAGGTGAGGAAGATGAGGGTGACAGTAGCAGGGCCTCTGAAAGGGAGAGGGCCGATGGAGGGAGCATGGAGGACGACGAGGGGGACGAGGATGAAGGAAGGATGGTCGGAGTACAAGGGGTTACGTCAACCTCAGCTCAGGTCCGATGGGATTTGGGGCGTTTGTCTACAGCTTACGTCGTCTGGATGTATCAAATACAGTACAACTGCACCGCCGATGACACCCTCATCTACAGGTCAGTTCAACTTAACACACACTACTCAATATGCAAAATATTGAGAGCCAATTCCAGTAGTTTAGATACTTGCCAATAGGTCATCACCTTGCAGTAACAACTCCTCTACATGCAACCACAAATAATTTTTTGACTGTCAGTGTCTTCGTCACTCAGAAGGTGGATATCCTGCTTTCATGCAAAACTCCTTAAATATTTATCCATTACAGCATGACACTTCAGTAGTGCAACTGTTCACCTTGTACATAGACGGGTGGATAGCTCAAAGGAAGGATGAATGGGGAGACAGATGAAGGGATAGAGGGGCGAAGGTAGTTAATAATTCATCTCCATCACTGTATGACACTAAAATCCCAACAGGTAGATAGTCAGTGCATATGGATAAGAGCGGAATGGGAGGACAAGTGGATAAATATATAATAAACAGGATTCTGAACTAGAGGAGCTTTTAAAAAATGTGTCAAAGTGTGCCTTGGAACATGAAAACATCTAGATGGTCTGACTCTGAATGCACAACATATCTACAGCAACATTTTGCATGTGCCAGTATTAATGGACAAATATGATAAGCGGCCTTGATGGGACATATCATTTCTAGTTTGAAGTAACATTTAAACCCTCAGTAAGCCATTCCATTTTGCTTTGAAAATCTTTACCCTTCTCTGTCCATGTTTACTCACCATGCGGTCAGAAGAAGAAAAATAATCAAACATTTATAAAGAACAGATTCGAGGTTAAGGGTTGTTCTTGTTATTACAAATTATTTAAGAAACCACTGCCATACTTTGCCATAAAGGTTTAGGCAACACTTTTTAGAAAGAAAAAAAAAGTTTTTTTTTTTGCCCTTTGCAAAGCTGACAATCTTTGGTCACTGTTTCTATGCATTGCTGTGAGCCAATCTGTATACAGCAGCTCTGGGCCTAACAACAAGATTAAAAGGACGAATAAATCAAAGCAAAGGGTTTCTATAAAACCAACCATTTCGTTTTACGTGAAAAATTATGGATCACAAGTTTTTACACTTTCAGTGCTGCACTCTGAAACTCTTAAAAACTAACTACTTAAACATCAACACAAACATGGGTACAGATAGGAAGTAAGAATGAGAATGAGATTAGTCTTGTTTAAAACATGAGTTGGGTTTTAGCTTCTTGATGTACTTGCATGCACAATATTTTTGCATTGTACATGAATTATGCCCTTATTCATTCAAAGAGTTCTGCCAGAGCCTGTACTACTATAGACTGATTGTGGTTGTTGCTACAGAAAAACAGTGGCTGAAACAGTGACAGCAAGATGGAATAAAAGGAGGGAGGATGCTGGGAAGGGACCGTAATCATGGCCTTATTTTTGTTTTGTTTTTTATTCCACTCTGCACTAATGCAGATACTGAATGTAGTTTCCCTCTGATATGATGGTATTAGGCTGAAAGTGATTTTAAGAAGGGGTTAAGGAAGCTAACCGTATGACAGGAAGAGGACAGGGAAGACAAATGGATGGAAAGATGATTGGAAATATGAAAGACTCTGCACAGGTATAAACAGAAGGATTGAGGGAAAGTAAAGAAGGTGGTGAATGGAAAAAATGCAGAAGGTGGAGGAGAAACTAATAGTTTGAGTGATGGATAGAGCCAGAAGGGAAGAACAGGTGAATTTTAAGATAGGAATGGCGCCTTAGAGATTTCAGAGGGTATTGAGGAATAAGGAGAAGATAGAAGTGGGCTTTACCCAAATCACCTTGGGAGAGATTGAGATGAAAGAAGGATGGCTGAAAGGACAGAGAATGACAGACAATAAGGGTGAGAAGAGAGAGGGTTGGGCCCAAATGGTCCTCAAGGAAAAAGCAAGAAAGCAAGGGTGGAGAGAGGGAGGGGAGGTATTTAAATGCATCACTGAAATTGAGTAAGAGAGAAAATGTGTGCATACAACAAAAATACACCTGGGGATGGAAACAGGAAAGAAAGAATGTGGAGGGGAAGAGTGGAAGTTGTAAAAGAGGGAAGTGAAAGAGAGACTGAGAAGAAAAGGAGCCAACAGAAATTTGTGGTAAAAGAAAGAGATAGGTAGAACTCTTTAACAGTTGAAGGAAGAAGAAGAAATGGAGACGGCAATGTGGTGAAAGCCCTGCAGCAAAGCCCTCGGCTGCTATAGGTAGAGGGTTGTTTGGATTAAAAGACAGAGGCGACGAGGTGTCCCATTGAAATGCCACATCAAAATAGACGAGTGCAGATTCTGCACAGTCCCATGACACATTTGTAGCAATTACACATGGAGAACTAATTACATGATTGAATTGAATGAACTGAATGAGATCTTAGCTCCCTCGCTGATCAGCTGCTTTAATTCCTCTACGGAAAATACTCTAATAATAGGGGAGCTGGCTTGCTGCTTAATGGTATCAAGTGAAGGTGTATTATCTCAAATCAAATGAATTCAGAAAGACAAACGGGGATTGCCTCACCTAGAGCTCACAAGTATTGAAACATCTCTGACAAATTTGGAACAGAAACTGAACACTAAGCTTGATAAAGGTAGTATTCATTACAGGGTTGTTGTATTGGATTGCATTAAATTGCACAGATTCTTTATAATATTACTTCAAATCCCAGTTGCCCTGGTTGAATTTAGCTCTTGCAAACAAAAGGGGTGACACGGGTAAAATGTCCTCCACTGAGGGAACAAACTTAAAGAAATAATGGAATAGCAGAAAATGCTGATAGACACAAAGAGACTGACACTGAAGCAAACAGAGGAGAGATAAGCGAGAAAGACAGCCAAGGCAACCAGCGTCACAGGAGAGATGCTGAAATTCAGCAAGGAGGGAGTAAGCGATCTGAAGTTTGACTAAACTCAAAACAAATCACACTGCCAACGAAACAGAGGGAGGGGATGCCTGTCTCAGAGGAGACACAGAAATGTAGTGGCTATCTTAAACGTGAAATTGAGATATAAACTCTGAACCAAATTGGAAAGGAGAAGTATGAGGCTGAAAGAGGAGACAAGAAGTCTGAGGGCTTTGAGGGAGGGAAAGCAGGGAAATCTGTCTCGAAGGACAGATAAAGAGGAAATGGAAGTGGGGCAGCATTTGAAAGGCAGCATACCACAATACAGCCAGTATAGATTTCTATCATGCTATCAAGGTGCCAGTGCCAACCGCAATATCACACCAGCTAGCAAGACTGTGAAGAGAGGAGTCAGCCAAAGGGAGAATGGCTTGTGAATTCAAAAGGAAAGAATAGACGAGTGAGATTTCATGCTACCTATCAGGGATTTGTGTTCATATTTTTTTGTTGTGGTTGTTGTTGTTGCTGCTGCCGCTGCTGCTGTATGAGTGCTTTGGCAGGTGAAAAAACCCCACACCGGCCAAGCTGAATTGAGCCGAGGAAGGGGAGAGAGAAACAGAAAGAGGATTTCAGAATGGAAGGCAAGGAAAGATAGGGAGTATCTAGCCTCCAACAAATATCAAAAAGTGAGCTACATTGTGAGACAGAGGTCTATACCGTATATATAGATTACAGAACAGGAGAGCAAATTGTGTGGCTACCAGATTTAATCATCTTTAAAGGTCAGTTCCACGCTAGACAACACCAGCCTCCATCTTGGTTTAGTTCTGATGGCTTCTGTGACAGTGCCAGGTGGGATGTCGTCCATGTGGCATCCTCTGGGCCCCGCTCACCCTGTCACCCTCAGCTCCCCTGACACTGTCAACTGAGCATTCTTCCTGGAGCTTTGCCACAATGTTACAGTACCACTACTTTGATTTGATCCTAAAAAAATATCCTTTATTCTCTAACGTGAAAAGCTAAGGATTTCCGAAGGATGCTGCTTGAATGTGAGCAATTACCAAATTGGCATGTTTTTCTTGCCCACATATGGGTACAGCCTACCTGAAGGACAAAGAACAGGAGAAAGAATGTCCCTCCATGTTAATGAGGCAGCATTTGTAAAGCGACCTCTGTGGTACCATCTGTTAAAAATGCAATGACTTTTCAGCAAGATTTCTAGTTTCGTACAAAAAATTCTCCTTTACAGGGCCATGCATGAAGGCATGAGCTAAAGAGATCAGTTGTAAACCACCAGAGGACATACAGCCCATCTGCCTAACAAAACATGCATCATGGTGAAGCTGGTGATGTTAAGACTTTGTTGAGCTATGTCAGAAACATGTTGATCCTGTGGTAGTTACTAAATATACTGTAAGGTGTTATTTTGTCCCCTGTATATACATATTAAGGGTAGACAACAACGCCATAAAATACAGTGTTGAGTTATCACCAAGTAAGTAGTGCACAACACCAAAGCTTAACATGAATATTACAGGACTACTTTGTAAAAATTGCATTACTGTACGGTATAGATGTCATTGAGTCCAACCTCTGTGTGTACACTGAAGCTGAAATACATTATTCAATACCTCTGAATAATACAAGATGCAGTCTGTTGCTTTATATTGCACCACTGATGTTTTTTTTAAGCATATGGATGGAGCTTTCCTGATGTGATGGACGTTTGCAATCATTTATGAATCACTGGTACATAAGGTATGCCAGTGGGGGCATTTGTATGACACTTGTACATAGTGGAGGCAAAAGTTTCTTATTAAGTTCAGAAGTCTTCGGAGAGTGAAGGCAGGAGTGTAAGGGCTTTGACAATTTTCACAATTTCGCCATAGTCACAACAGGATCAACCTTCCTGCTGGGCACTCAAAGTGCCAAGTTTGACACAGAATTTAATGGGAACAGAAATGATCACAGGGACAGGAAGAGTTGGAGAGAAGTTGGAGAGAAAATCATGCAGAGTTTAAGAAATAATGAGAATAATGAAAGTCGAGTCTCAGAAAAAGGACACACAATCAAAACGGACAGGGTGAGAGTTAGACAGTCATAGGAAAGGTGCATGCTGAGACATAGACGTATGAGAACAGGGGTAATGAGTCACAAAGGAGAGGGAAATGAAAATATTAAAGAAATAGAACCTGCAAATTAGATGCATGACAATACC